CTTTTTCTCCGCTTAAACGTGCACGGAATTAAGACTGGGGAGTAGTGATACCCTAGCGCCATCCCCATACCCCACGCGCATACCCTTTCAAGCTGCACTTGCGCCTATACCGAATTCCGGCATCACAAAGCGCAGTCTGGGGTTGAGAGCATCAAAGCGAGAGAGCCCAGACAAGTAGCGCGCTTGGCTATGGTCAGGCGTGCGGCTGGCCGTGCGGCGGTGTGGGCGAAAATGTAATGCTCCGGGTGCCACTACCCCTAACCCACTTTGCTTTGCTTTGTGCACTTTTGAGCGGAGAGACCCACTCGCAGCTGCGGACCCATTCGCGCACAGGATACAGCATCGTGATCTGTGAAATGGTGGTGCCAGTACGAATCCCCCTTTCGGGGGAGGGTCTTGGTACGACCCCCCTTCCCCAGCTGCTACCAACCAATTTCCCAAATTTTCCAGTTTCCACTCCGAGATGTTGCGTCGAGCGGAAGGGGCGCGGGGGGGGGTGGGGTGGAAGGGGGTAGATAGTACGCATAAAACAGGTAAAATCACGCTAAAGCTTAACAGCCGCGGCTTTCTGTCAAGGCCACATACATAGTACTACCCCTCTCTCCCAACAAGACCATAGCTACCGCTCTGCTCCCAACAACGACCAAGTACTACCCCTCTCACCACCCGATACGACCCCCGTATGTGTTCCACACAACGATGCTGTACCCTGTTGGCGCATAGAATGGAACGACAGAACCTAACGAAGTTAGTGCACATTTTGTCTGCTGATCAGGAGGCCTTTCAGGTCGTGGCGCGCTTTTTGGAATGGTTTTGGTTGCTTTGTTGTAGGGTCTCAAGAGATCATGAAAATGGTTTCTTGCAATTTGGCGTTTGCTGGAGGTAAAAAAATGGTGAAAAGAATTTGACAAGAATGGTGCGATTTTAACTGAGCGAAGGCTTCGGTTCTGGCTGCTAACCATACTAGTTTATGAGGTGCTCGTTAATTAGGCCTCGAGAATAGAGAGGAATATACCGCAAGGAGGATCCGGTCCACAAAGTCCCGTATCGTCTTCCCATCCAGAATCCATCGAGTTATCCGCTGCGCCATCCGATCCGCCGACAGTGAGCATGAGGGGACCGCTGACAAAAACATCACTGTTGCGTCGGTGCATGCCAAGTGTGTTACTACATGATACTTACATTTTGACTTTATTTAAAACTATTTTCGAAGCCTAATTAACGAGCACCTCATACATAACTGCTCAAAGTTACACTCAGAACTGTCCCCATTAAGATAGTCAAAATCTCCCTTTCTTGTCAAATTCTTCACTCATTTTTTGACCTCCCCAGAAAACGCATAGCAAAAATGAAACCCATTTTTGTGATCCTTGTATGGACCCCTACAACAAGCAACAAACCATTTCCAAAAAGCGCGCCACGACCTGAAAGACCTCCTTGTAAGTGAAGTGGTACATCCGCAAGGTGCTAACATTTATTGACACGTATTCGTACAGCAATGTTAGACATAATGATCTGGTATGATGCTACAAGTATTATATTATGGCTATGGCGATGTGCATTGAATGAAGGCGAGTGAGAGAGATTCAGAGACATCAGGATTCGTTACGGTTTTGGTATGGATGAGATCATCCACTAGTTGCGGATAAATTACGCTACGTCACAGAATACGATACATTCTACTGTAATCGGATGAGCAAAGTATTGTAGCCTTTCTGCCTCGCTCAATAGCGCCCATCATCCTCACCGTGTCAGAAGGAAGGAGGCACGAATGATGAAGACGGCACAATCACGGGACTCTGCCCATTTTCCCACCCATCCGATTAACGTGGAATGTGCCTTTGATCTACGGCTAGCTGGAGGAGTACCGTGCATCATCCAGCTACCGCTCCGCAAAGGAACGTGTTGACGTAAGAAAAGTTCCCAAAAGCACCAGCAAATCAACAATATGTAGTATATCTTCAAAAACTTCCATATTCTTGCGCATCACAACTGATGACGAGCAATTCGTGTCGTAATGTTTTCCACACTGTCGATTATGCCAATGATTAGTGGGCGGAGCCTGAAAGTACTGCCAAGCTTGTAAGTCATCTTGCTTCCAGAATGAATGCGAGAGAATTCAATAAAATAGTAACATATGGTGTACAAGGCGTTTATTGTAATTGTTATATATTCTGTTTACAACAGATTCATCTTGTATCCGGTTATTTCACTACTTAATTAAGATAATTCAAGGGGGGGGGTCGATTCAAGTTCGATTCATAGAAGTTAGCGTCGTTCGGCAAGCTGCCCTTAGACGGCCAAGCTGGAACCGAGATTTAAAAGAGAGTAAACGCTTTGCTTCATGTCAGAGTGGGGCGTCTTGCGGCCCCAAGGAGGCGTGGACAGCCCATACGGTACTACTTAAATGATCAACCGCGAAATTGTCGGGTCGCATATCAGGCGGTTCTCAGCTTGCGGCGTTTCCATCATTAGGTTTATTTCCTTGCCGCTAAATTTATTCTCTACCCGCATCGCCACTGGTATGAGCAAGAAGAGCCAAGCGCGGGGGCGAAACCGACCGCTGCTCACGCCGCCTCGCGACCAGGTCGCCACTGGATGAGACCTTAACAAGTCCGTTGACTTCCTTACAGAGCTTTTGCGCAACAATTTGGGTTGCTGAGTAGTTGCTTCTCAGATATGGAATGCGATTGCCATCGCAGGATCGAACGTCAAGATTTTTATCAACAGGAGGCGCATTCAACCGCTTTGGAGCGTTACGGCCGACAATATAGAGCCCGCGCGCAAAGAGATCCTTTGATATTTTTTTGCCTATATTCTCGGTTTTGTTCCTTCGCTTCATCTGCATAATATTAACCGTCCCCCTCCCTCCCTCGCACCGTGTCCTTCTAAGTCCACGCGCAGAATTTTTAAAAAATTTGGTAAAATGATTGGGCTGATTGTGGAAGGCGCGTTGTTTTGTCGCCCCAGCATCACTTTTGGGGGTAGGGTTCGTATTTAACGATGGAGTTCCTCTCTGACAATTGAGTGCCAATCGCAAATTCCCACTCATCTAGACTTTGACTTTCAGTTAGAACGCTTTCACATACGCATCGCCGTTGTTGGATCGCCGAGCCACCTCCAGTGCTTCCATGGCCAACTGCTTCGTCATGTCGTTCATTTGACGAATATATCTCATAGAAACGATCATCTCCTTCTGGTTGCCATCTTCGGCCGTCTGAAAGAACGCTTTAACGTTTATTAGCAAGCGCTTTCTTGAAATTTTCAGTAGCAAGACCGTCACCGTAGTGCGCCACTGTTTTTGAGCACTTGAACTTTGCCAAATACGCTTAACCGACTTCATAAGCAAATGTAAAGGTAGGAAAGAAATGGAAATGAGTCATGGGATTACTAAAGAGACTTACCGTATATGGCGGTGGTGGTGGGACCACTTCAACTTCTAACGGTTCGCATGAGATCTGTCCAGTTTTCCGGTATCGGTCAATTACAGTCAGCATGCGCTTTTTTGGTCCGTACGCTATACCCATTTCCTCGAAATCCTTAATGACTTTGAATTGAAGAGCTATTTTGTAGCAAATGGAAGCGAAATTGAGAAAATAATGAAGTAGCAAGGAGTAGAAAAAGAGAGAAATGGAAAGCGAAGACAAAAATAGGCAAACCTTATCAGTGAGATCGAAAAACAAGTTTAAGTCGATGTTTTCCGCTTTGAATTTGTCCACAAGTCGAGCAAGATTCATGTCCTCCAATAGTTCCTCCAGCGTTCTCGGTTTTCTTGGTGCTCGTGGAGATTCTTAAACGGCGTTCATAGTCGGCGACTAGCGAAGGATGGAGCAAAACTGGAGGCAGAGGGCGGAGTGTCGGCTGGGAGGCCTACGTTGCAGTGATGCGCACAAACCAACTAGTATTTCCTTACTATTTGACCCGTCATTCCGTAGTATATCCATATCAAAGGCAATGGGCACAATGGCTGGGGCGGGCGGTTGCTGCCAGTGTCATTGGAGGAACTGCT